GTGGGAGACGAGAACATGACTTCTATCCCTGTCGTGGGAGACGAGAATAGGTTGGGTGTAAAGCTTCATGGGGATGTGATTCAATGTGGTTGTGCATTTTGGGGTTGGGGCAAACTTGGGTGGCGATGATGGAGGTTGGGTTATAGGGAGGTGGTGACTGGCTAGGGTTGGGGCAAACGGGTTGAGAGGAGAAGGGATGAGAGAGAGTATTTTAATTTAAATTTTTTTTTATATACGAATTTTTTTAAATAATTTATGGACCGAAAATGTTCCTCAATAAGTAACGGCAGCTAGAAGAATTTAACATAAATTGGGCAATGTCCTCGAATTGCTTCTTTTTTTTTTGGTCGAAATCATATCTCATTTCATTAAAACGCCAAATAGGCAAGTGTACAAAGCACAAACCAATGGCACAATAGAACCATAACACAACCGGGAAAGAACATCTAAACTCAAACTTACAATAACATAAAAACACTCAAAATAAAACAACACACATAATCCAGTGGCCCACCCCAAATACAATCATAGCCCAAAAATAAGCATTCAACCCAGTTCATACCCAAAATTAGAATTTTGGCAAACCCTAGCCTAAGCACACAAAAGCCGCCGCCGTTGACAAGAGAACAGGGAGCGCACCACCTCGGCAGAAAGTGAAAGGAGATTTCACCACCACACAAAACAGCATAGCTGCACACAAAAGACCCACAAATCTGCCACCAAGACCAGAAGTTCCTCAAACCACAAAACCATATCAACTCAATGACAACCACCCATGAATCACCAACTCCACCAAGCTTGAACCCGCCTATGCCCCACAGAGAATGTAGCAACCAATCAAAGCAATACCAAGGGAAGTGAAAACCCAAAGCCCAAAGAAATAAGAGAGTGGAAGGTGGTGGTGCAAGCACCAGAGCAAGAGCTCTATACACCTTCCGATGGGTACGCAAGAGATTGCGTTTTGGATTAGCTTCTACAAACCGCAGGAGAGGCTATATCAAAGAAGGAGGAAAGGAATCCAAGGGGTAGATGGAAGATGCTTGGACAAAATTGGATTTAGTGAGAGGTTGATGGAGAATTGGGGACTCATAATTAAAATAAGACATAAAGTCTCATATCCACCCACAAGAGTTGAAAGAGATCACCAAAGAAAGCAAAGAGGGAAGAAATGGTGAGAATGGTGGAGGGTGTTGTGAATGGTAGAGGGAAGAGAGAGGAGAGAGGAGGAGAAAGAGGGTTGAGATGATAGTAGAGAGGAGAGGCAGTGACCTCCTCCTCTCCCTTGTTGAGAAAGGGGCGGCTGGGTTTCCTAGGGTTAGGAGAGAGAGAGAGAGAGAAAATTTGAGAGAAATAGTTGGTTTTGATGTTCTCGAATTGCTTGGAATTGATAAATCACATGGATGAAAGTGACTAAATTGAAATCACATGGACCTCAATGGTAACCAAAAAAAAACCACAATTGTGACTAAATTTCATTTATTTATTTATTCAACAAAATTATTACGCAAGTCGCATATTTAAAATAAAATGGACTTTTGACTGAGAAGCATAAAACACCTCCTACATCGAGACATTTGAAATTACCAGAAAAGGAAAAGTGAAACGTTCTCTCACCCTAATAAATAAGCCAAGGGATTTTTATTTTTATTTTTTTCCCACCAAGGGATATCTGTTGGAGTGTTCATTTTTTTCTTGGCAGACCCAAAAAGGAAAAAAAAAACTTCATATTTGTCTTCTTGTCATTGTGCCACTTGGTTATTTTCTATGGGCCCCTATCAATGTGTAACTAAAAAGTGAATTTCATATACCCATTGATTTTATATATATATTACATGTGTATAGGAGGATCAAGCCTCACCCACATCTAGCCAATCAAAGTTCTCACTTCTATTGCTCCTCATCACCTCTCCAATTCCCTCTTCACTCATTTCTTATCTGTCATATATCAATCTCAAAACTCACCAACACAACACATCTCTCCATATCTCTAAGCCCATCTCCTCCCTTCCCCTTTGGCCCTCCTAACTTCTCCTACTTCTCCTCCTTCTCCTCCTTCACCACCACCACACACGCAACTCTCTCTCTCTCTCTCTCTCTCTCTCTCTCTCTCTCTCTATGGCAACCAAGCCTTTCCAATCCATATACCACAATCACCACTCACTCCTCAACCACCACCACCACAACCACCACATAGAGATTGCTCCTTCCACCCTCTCCTCCACTCTCTTCCTCAAACCCACCACCACAAACACCCCAAACACCATAAGCACTTCTTCTCTCTCCTCCACCAAAACCTTCTCAATCTCACCCACCACTTCACTCTCCACACCCTCCTCCACCCAAGCCATCTCCTTTGACCTCCTACAGCAGCACCTCTCCACCCAAAACTTCCGTGAAGCGGACGAAGAAACGCGCCGCCTCCTCATCGTCCTGGCCGGAGAACAGGCCCAGAAGCGAGGCTACGTCTTCTTCTCCGAGGCTCAGTTCATCTCAGAAGCCGACCTCAAGGCCATTGACGACCTCTGGAGGCAGCACAGCAACAACAAATTTGGGTACAGCGTCCAGAGAAAAATATATGGCAAGGTGAACAATGACTTCACCAAATTCTTCATTAAGGTTGGGTGGATGAAGAAGCTGGACACAGAAGTTGAGCAATACAACTACAGAGCCTTCCCCAATGAGTTCATCTGGGAGCTCAACGAGGACACACCAGAAGGCCATCTGCCATTGACGAATGCTTTGAGAGGAACCCAGCTGCTCAAAAGCATTTTAGAGCATCCAGCTTTCAAGCCCACAGAGGAAGAGCTGCTTCAGGCCAAGGCTGCAGGTGAAGACATGGGCAATGGAGTTACAGGGTTGAAAGGGTTCATGGATGGCTCCAAAAGCAAAAGAGTGCTCAAATCAGACTATAGCTTTTGAATTTGAAATATGATCAATTTGAATGTTCTGGAACTTACCCAGTACCAATATTTGCACAGGAAATTAAAATGACATTTGGGGTTTTTGTAACAATTAATTAATTAATTAATGTGCTTGGTTGATGATTGCTTCTACTTCTTAAAAAAAATTCTTAACATTTTTTGTGAGAAATGGGATAGTACTATTTTGCTATTTTCAGGCTAGTCATAGATTGTGACGTGGAAAATCAAACACGTATAAATCAAACATAAATAACATATATAAATTGACTGGGAATAGCGTGGTTTTACACAAGTGTTTCTCCTATAAGAGGCATGATTTAAGTGAAAATATTATTGTTTATATAAAATATGAATGAGCAGCAGATGCAGAGCAGAAGACTATGTGAAATGTGCCCAATGGAAAGCAGGCTGCAAATGTGTAGAACTTTACAGAGCGTTTCATTTTGGCGTTTCGAAACGATGGAGAAGACACATCAAAATCAGACCCTGCCCTACTCTGTCTTGCTGGTTGTCGTTTTGTGATATTTTTATATTGGCCTTGTAAATGGGAAAATGCTGCTTTTGCTTTTCAGTATATATGCCATTGCGCCAGGGCATACATATAACCTCGAGCTATAAGGATTTACTCATGGCATTCAACTGTCATTAATATAGATTTATATAGGAAATTATAAATCGCGCATCAATAAGGATTGCTGACAACAAGACTCGAATATTATAAGAAAGGAGACCTTATCAATTGAAACTAACCCTGATTGGTGTGTGGCATAGAAATTAATTACAAAGAAGGAGCATTACAATTTACGGAAGACTTGAACATTATAAGGAAGGAGAAGTATATATTATCGACCGACCGTCCACCAAATTGGGTGGGTCTGAATTAATTTACAAAAGCACAGACATATGGCATTGGTATCACACTGTCTACACATAGATTTTGCTTTATTTGTATCGACCCGTGCTCACAAAGCATGCCATTAGATTTTTCTTTATTTATAATTGCTTTTTATTTTATCTTTATATGTACAAACTTTTGTTGGAAATGAACTTTTATTTCTTTTTTATTTCTTTAAATATTTTTATACTAATGTAGACTATTATTTGTCAGAAGTAGTGTTATTTTGAAATTCTTTCTTTCTCTTTCAGTACAAGAATAATCTAAAGAGGGGACTTTCTTACACAAACTAATTAGGGTGTTATGAGGGGTTTGAACATGAGACCACTAGTCTACAAGTTAAGGCTATTTTCTATTGGACCAGACCCCGTTGACTTTGAAATATATATATTTTCTTTAAATGACAACAACTCGGGGTTATTTGAAAATTTAATCGTAAAGGCCTTTTGTTTGGAACTCCCATGCCTCCTTGACAATGTGTGTGTGTATGAAAATTCCCCTCTCCTTCCTAAATATGGCAAATAAAACAAAATAAAAAACAAAGGCCTTTTGTTTTATATACAAAAAATTATATATCAAAATTACCCTTAAACAATGACAAATCAATATTCAGATGCCTTAAAAAAAAAAATCAAAATTAAGATCTCCTACACAATAAAATTAAGGATAATTACACAAACGACTCATGAGATTTAACGGATTTTAACAAATCTCTCTCCGCTTTTAAAACCCACCAAAAAAAAACCCCACACATACACCCCCTGACATAACCCCTTTAGAAGAAAATTTAGCTCATAGAATATAACATAATGTAGAGAAAAATCTAATGGCATGCGTTGTGAGCACGGCTCGATATAAATAAAGCAAAATCTGTGACACCAATGCCATGTCTGTCCTTTTGTAAATTAATTTGAAATATTATATGCATGTAGTTCCAATTATACTCCAAAGGGGTACACACACTTGGGCTTATTATTCCTACATGTTTAAGTATTTTTTTAACTTCGGAATGAACAGCCTAATTGGAACTACAACCAAACAATATCTAAGACTTTAAGGGTACTTTGGTACTTTCATACATTTTGTTACTTTTCATGACGTTCATTTTCTACCTTGGTGAACTTAATAACTAAATGTACGCTTTCAGTCAACTAATTTAGCAAAAAATTGTTAACCAATTCAGATTAAAAATGTCTAAACCCTTAGAAACTACAATCAAACGTAAATTACAAGACCAATAATACAATTTAGCCACATTTTTGGATCAAATATCCCTCCAAATATCATCAAATCCGAAGAGTCTAGTACCTTGATGTGTTTACCCTTTGACAGACTAATACTATACATTTTCACCCGAAAAAAATATATATTGTACACTGCATGCTAGACAAATATGATCCGTGACACCAAGGAGGCATAGAACACAATGGCGCATGCCCCTCATTCTCTGAGGCCATTACAGCAGAGCCACCACTTGCTTGCGCTCAAATCAAATACCTTATAATCCCCACAATTCATGCCTGTGATGGGAAATCCTGCATGTAAAGGAGATAATAAGGCTAAATTCATAATTTGCTTGTTCTTCATTTTCTTTGAAACAAAGGAAATATTTCTTTGAAGTCACGAAATTTAGTTGGGAGCAAATTTAAATCAAAGATTAGGAACAGTGAAAGGGATAGAAGAAGTGGTACAACTTGCCCCACCAACCCAAAATAATAAAGAAAAAGAAATAGATATGAGATGGAGAGACAAATATGATTATAATAAATAAAAAAATGATTGATAATGTTCTGTAATGTAAAACAATTGCATATTACATTCTGCAGTTGGGTGCCATTTATCAAAAGCTAATGCAAAAGTAAACTAACTGGTAAAAGCAGCTAACAAAAGGTTCTTTTGCTCATTGCATCATGAAAGATTGTGATATCTGAACTGTTCGAACTTCGAATAATTCTATGTATTGTTACAAAAAATTTCATTTTAAAAAAAAAAAAAAAAAAAGCTTCACGGTATTACATTAGTTCTGACAATCACATGGGCTTTATAGGTGCTTCAAACCCTTCTGAACTCTCTCAATATATATTTGTTACTAAATTATTTATTACAAGTCATGCAAGGTCTTTTCTAATCCCTCAACAGACTTAATTTTCAAAATCGAAAGAAATTGAACTTACCAGATACTGCACTATGCACAAGGGCAGAGTCTCCTGGTATGCTGATGTGAACCATAACAAGAAAGCATTGATTGTGTTTGAGTAAACAAGCATGCTCCAGGATTCTGAAAGTAATAAGCGATATTAACGCTCCATTGAGTGTCATATACTTCAAGCAAAAGAAAAAATGTCACAACTTTTTTTTTACTTTTTTCTGGCTTCCTAGAGAAAAAACATGCTAAACACAAATTCTTCCAATAAGATGTTTCTGGTTCCAATTGTTTCCTTTTAGCAAAACAATCAGAACAATGATTGCATCTGAGCTATATGATGTTTAGATCATGGTTTTAAAATTGCTACACTAAATCTTCATAATATTTTGCAAAATTGGCAAGTGTGGCACCACAAAAATTATAAAAGAAATAAATCCATCGAAGCCAGAGAAGTACTGATTTATTATCAAGGAGGTATGTGGCACAGAGGAATGGAGAGCCTAGCCTATCATATTCTTTAACTTTAAAGTAGTTAGTGTGCCACCAAAAGGAAAGAGATCACTCACGTGCTGAATCATCATAGGACAGGCCCATCTTACATGGGCGATTTCATATTTAAATTAACTGCCAAAGTATGAGCTATCTCAGTTAGACTCATAAGATATAAAAGTACATTGCTCTATCAGCAATCTACATAGAATACACCGGACTTATAACACTTAAGTTAAGGCCTCATATCATTATATGTCTATAAAGCCTCATTTCAGCAGCCAAGTAGGTAAGTCCATATGTGAGAACAGTGTTATATCAATAATCATTAAATCATAGTTCAATAGGGTAGGAAAACAACCTCCACAATAAAGGTGTAGTACAAGATCCAAAGCGGCGCATAGGGCACTCAATAAAATTTACTACAAGACAACTATGTGGAAGTTTTGCAATGCATGAACTTTTAAACTAAAATAATTACTAGCCAGAAAATGCTTATGTGGTAATAATAATCTCCAGTGACTGAAATTTCTTTGCAGAAATACAACAATTTTTTTAAAGACAGAATGATTGTATCAAGGCTATTGCAGGAAATATGATTCTCTGTATACTAAAACACAATTCCAGAACACAGAAACTTTAATGCTGAAAAGGAAGTATACCAAATCTTCAGGAGCATCATCAACAACTTCAGCAGGTTGGTCCGGACCAATACTTGCCAGGCAAGTTCCCTTGCAGCTCATATATTTCTGCATACTGTTCAATACAGAATTACAGAGAATTAAAAAATGGTACAACCATATGCAAAGAAGAAATCTGGTTAATGTTTCCTAAAGAAAAACGCAGGGAAACAAGAACTTTATTGAGAACAAAAAAACAAAAAAGAGATAGACATGCAGTCCAGCAGAACACCTAAACTACAAACAAAGACTAGCAAACCAACCAACAAAGCAAAAACTCCCACACAATTGAGAAGAATAGCACCAAAAAATTACCATTTCGGATGCCAACACTAAAAAGAAACTACCAGAAATGTTTAGACTCTAAAATCCATGATGCCTGAAATCTAATTCTATCCCAATGAATCAATATAAGTGCCATTTAAAATGTTATATGGAAAATAATGTAATTAAAAAAAGAAGTTCAAAGTAAGTCAAAAGCCTGTATAAATATTTTGTATTGGGTCTGGAGACAGTTAGAGGGAGAAGAAAGTAAAATGTGGAAGAAGGAACACACTTCAGTCAAGAAAACCAAGTACAAGAATGCTAGATTAAATAACCCGATCCACACACATGATATATACAGAGCCATCCTCAAGCAGGTGCAGACTGTGCACCCACACAGGGACCAAGCATGGGCTCCAGTGGATATTGGGATTGCACAATTCTCATAAATTAAGTAGTTGTATTTGTGTAGGAAGGAATTCCACAAGTCAACAGGAACAAACAAGTCTACTCCATGGTAAAACTCCAACGCATGAAGTAGGAAGTACATATTCGTCCAATCAGTACAGCACCTAAATATGAGCTTGAAATAATGGGTCCCACACCCTAGTAATTGGACTTTGGACGAATTTCTGAAATATGGATTTAGGCTCAATAATAATTTGGGCATTTTTACCACAAAAAATTAGTCTTCTTGAAATTAAATTTTTTGCCAAATCTTCAGTCACTTGGGCTGTGTGGCTATTAAGAAAACAAAGTAAAAAGCATACTAATTAAACTTTTTTATTATAAGGAGCATACTAATTAAACTTTTTTTATAAGGAGCATCCTAATTAAACTTGTTTTTTTTCTAAGGAGCATACTAATTAAACTTAAGTATTTAAAAATAAACTCTTTGGGTATACTAGATGGAATAATTATGTATCTATCGAAACCAAATTTAGAAGGAAAAAAAGAAAAAGTTAAACCTCTTTACTACAAACATATTTATGTTTTTTTTTTCTTTTTTCAAATTAATAGTTCCACACTTCTCTATTTACAGAGAGATTCAGCACAAATGTTTTTTCAATATCATGGTGATACAGGCAAAGAACCAACCACAATTTGAATATGCATGCCTTTTATTTTCACTATAAAAGGGCCATGTTTTTAGTTTTTGTATGGAGCCCCATAAACCTCAGGACCACCCCTGCATGTGTGATGGCAAAGTTTCAATTTAAAAAAATACAAGAATAATAAATTTTACAAAATTAAACTACCTGATGCTCAACTTACATGTCACACTGATTAAGTACCAAAAGCTTATTTGGAACACATGATTGTCCCTTTGACTTGCAAACTGAATCGCATGATTGACCTCGCCTGCCATCCACACCATAGCAAGTTCTTGTGAATCAGCTACGGTTGAGATTTTCTATAAATATATACATATATAAGTACATATAGATCAAAATAATTGTTGTGAAACCTCACCTTCCAACAAGAACATTAATGCCATTCAGTCTGGCTTCTAAAAATGTATAATTTGCAGCTGTTGACATATATTTTTAAAAAAAAAAAATTAATCCTTATAACTAACTGTAAACTGCACCCAGTCAAAAAGATAGGTATTGATTTAATCAATAAATCATTATACCATATAAGAAAGTCTAGCGAAAGAGGTAAGAAAAAAACATTCGATATAGAACAACCATACTCCAATAGTCCAGTTCGAAATTAATGCAAGTATATCACAAAGAACCTTCTACCTAACAAAGTTTTATCAACCTATCATGCTAATGTGCTTAACATTTGATATGGCACTGGCATTACTATACTATATTCACTGTTACATTTAATTTAATTTATCTCATAGCAAAAACAGTATAATGAACCTTCTAATAGTGTGGAAAGAAAACCAAATTTAATAATGAGGCTTCTAATAAGAATGTGTCTAATATCCGTGGGCAATCATGGGAAATCAGAAACCTATGAAGGATAATACTTACTAGATTCTAGTTCACTTTGTTTATATAAGTAATTTGTGGTATTAGTTAGCTCCTCTAAGATAGCAAGAAGGAACAGCCTTTTTCAGAAACCGTTAGTAGCTTGATTTTGAATGTATGAGGTGCATGGAAATTCCTTACTTGGTCTGATCCAAAATCAAAAAGGTTATGCAGCTGCTTGCCACCATGTGAAAGCCTTTTTCCCTAGTATGGTGCTAGGTTTCTCGAGGTTAGTCTAGGGGTCTAGATCCCAGGCTACCCATTCTAATTTCTTTATCTGTGTATCACCGTAGCTTAGTAAGATTATATTCACTCTTGAGTAATTTTTCAGATCATCCTAAAACTAACAGCAGAGACATTACAAATATCTAAACATCCGTTGCCAATTTTAAAACAAAAATTCATGCTTTCAATGAACGAAACAGTGCATTTTTAAATCCAAAAACAACTATAAAAATTAGATGGAAACTGCATCAACAAGATCATAATTTGGGCCATGAGCTAGTTATCACTTAACACATAAGCAGATAAAGGAAACAAAGGTTATGCTAGTGTTGGAGTCAAGGTAACACAGATAAGGAAAATATTAAGGGGGGATTACACAACTGAAAGGACTAGAAATCCAGCCACAGCCCTTGCCACACAAAAAAGAAAAAAAAAAAAAAAAAGAAAGAGAACAAGAAGAAGATAGAAAATCAACAGAAACAAATAATAGACATGGAAGCATATGAGACATTGAAAGTTTATGTTCTCCCCTCTTCCCACTACCCAAAATAAATCAAAGAAATCCCCCGAACAATAAAAGCAAAAAAGGTCATAAACCTTCAAACATTGTCCTCATTAAAATATGATTACCCACTATGGAAATTATAAACATTGTTAAAGAAGAGTACATCATAATATAATTGCCAAAGCTGGACCTAACCTGACGAATTTGATGGCAGAGAAAAACAGTGATGGAAATCACTAAGGTAAGCATTTTCGTGGACCTGAAACGTTCGAACTTACTCAGACAGTATGACAGGCATATTGCAATCATATAAAATAAATGCCAAATTTTTTACTGTTGTGTAAGGTAGTTTAATGAAAACAAATGAGTCAAACTAAATAAGACATCTGGGGAAGTCCAGTGTTATTATAGTTGCTCTTGTTTATCATGTTTCGATACTGAAATGATTATTAGTGTGATTTATGTTTGGCTTGATATACTTTTTGCACCCGTTTTATACAAAGTTAAGTTTTTCATGTTATGAGAGCTCTGGTTGACTATTTCATCCTGTATCCAAATACAGGCGACTCAACTTCAAGTCAGTTTTTCAGTTTTGCATGTGAAAGGCCAGTAGTTGATTCAAATTTTTGGGGAGGCTTTAATAACAAATGAGTGTTCCTATAAGCGTAATCTTTTGGGATCCACAATTTCTCAATAATCCTATCTATACTATGAGTACTTCGACTGTAATCAAACACATATCCCGAAGTAGCCACCAGAGAAACCTATAACATAATACAGACTCACGAGATCACTCACTCCTTTCATATCTTGGAGGATTATTGGGGAAAGAAATCATTTTAATTAAAAATAAATATTCAATAAGTACAAAACTGCTTTAAAGTAAAGTATTACACATTTCTAATCTTTTCCCTTATACCGTCTGAGAAACAATGCGGATCCTTCTAGTTTTTGTGAATATGAGAACATAAACTAATAAATGACAAAACTTCTGAAGTTTCAAAAAGGATCCCAATCTAATAAAAGTAAGTGGATTTTTAACTCAACGATCAGAACAAGTATGTGGATTTTAAAACTCAGTCACCTCTCTGAAATGAATTCTCATATCAAGTTTGATCACCAATGTCTGAATGAAGTATTGAGGAGACAGTAACAGCATGCCAGTAAAAAGGTAAAATGATGGTGATGCAGGACGCGGAGGACTCAAATTTATTAGTTTCCTAATGTATTTGTTAGTTTCCTAGATTCTCTAGTTTTCCAAGTTCTAGTAGGATTTCTACTTTTCCAGATTTCCAGATTTCCAGATTTCTAGTTTTAAGTTTCCTATTTTATTTGGGTATTTCTGTTTAAGAAAGGGATTTTTATCCTATTATGTCTAGGTTTTAGTTTGCTATATAAATACCCTCATGTAGTTCTTTAAAATTCAGATATGAATGTTGAGTAAACCTTTTCCTAGAACTCTCTGATTTCGTCCCTTCGATCTATATTTCTTCTCCTCGATCTCCAATATTCTTCTTTGTTCTACTGTTTCTGTCCTTTATCTCGTCTTTTCGATCTCTATTTCTTCTCCTCGGTCTCTTATATTCTTCTCTGTTCTGTTGTTTAAGTGCTTAATCTAACACCTACAGGCTGTACTACATCAGATGGCTATATATTTCTTGACAAAATCTTTGTGATGAGCTTTATAACCTTAAATGAAAACACAAAGAGAACCAGAATTTGTTCATCTATGGTTCAATGCATCAGAGTAGCACATAGGTATCATTGGTAATTTTTTTCTGACATTATTCCTATTATCAACGCTTCATGCATAGTCTAATCCATTATCTATGTGTGTACCAACATATTAGTTAGCATTCGATAAATAAGTTTGTGAAATTGTTCGCATAATGAGGGAAACACTATCTATCCTCCATGAGTTGACCAAACCCAAAGACCAAAAACCACCTCCAAGAAGAACAACGATTACATCATATATGGATTGCTTACCACACTCTCAGAATTATGACGACACCTCCCAGCACAGAAATCAAAAACATTTGAATATTTCCCTGCCAAGAGAAAACTGTGAGCACACATTATCCCAAGAAAAAATTATGTTCAGGGGTAAATATATTTCTTGATTGCCTCTGCAAGGGTCAAAAAAGAGGTTTCACAAGACTCATTCCATGCAATGGATAAAGGAGATAAATAGTCAAATCGGGACTTCTAATCTTCCAAAAACTAGTAGAAATAGCAGTTGAACATTTATCAATGCGCCCTAAAGCTGTCAGACTCTTCATGCAAAGGTCATTTTGTGGATTTTTAAACTCAACGATCTCTGAAATGAGATCTAATGCAGCATCAGAGCAGCGAAAGCTCAAGATTAGTCTCCGAGAAAAGATTCAAAACCTTCTACTATTTAAAATTGTACCTGCAGTAGCTGGTTTGGCAACCTTCACATTCATTACTTGTTCCTCTTTTATCTGCACAATAAAACCCACTAATACTGAAACATACAATATTAAAAAGAGAACAGAAAAACACAAAGGAAATAATATAGACAATGGAAAATGGTAGTACAAAATTTGAAGAATTCAAGAAATTACCCTTGAGGGATTTAAACAGCATGAAACACAATATTCATAAGAATCACAACACTCTGAAACTACATTGCAACCACTGTAGACAAAAGGGAGGCAGGAATGTTGTTAATTTGCTCAATGTTCTGAAAAAGAATTTCAGAGTTCTACTTAGTGAAAAACTCACTGACAAGAGAATTTTTCTCCTTTTTCAGGGCAGCAGCGAGACTGCGGATTTAAAGACAGAGCGTCACAGACATGGCCTACAATGCAAATATAGTTTATATAAATAAGGGGATTAAAACTGACAATGAAGTAAACAAAACATGATAAGTTATCAGAAGATTTTTGATAAGTTATAAGCAAAAAAAAAGGAAAAACATGAAAACTAATGGCACAAGAAGAAACTTAGAGAGGGGCAAGCTGACCATTATCATCAGATAGTAAGTATCTTCCTAGGACCGTGTTTTTGCAAATGCGCCTCCCTTGAAATCCAACATCCTTCCTGTAAATTTGAAGGGAAAACGAACATGTTGTAAATTGTAACAGTATGAGCATATCATCAACTAAGGAAGAGCCATAACAAAAATGTACAAAATATAGCACCAAACCACTGAGACACAAGTAATCCAAAGGAGCAATTGTGTTGTCAGATAAACCAAAGAATAAAGAGAAATACAATAACCCACAGTAACAAATAGCACATAGAATAGCAGTCTGTCACTATATGACCCAAAAAAAACAAAAGAAATTTCCAATAGTAATGCATCCATATTCTTTTCAAATTCAGTTTTACGAGCAAAATTGTAGTTAAACCACCTGGAATGCCAGGGTCAAATATTATGTTTTCGTCTTCTCTGTTAGTTATTGGTAGATACTGTATTAATACTATTAAATAAATAAACAAATAAATAAAACACCTGCCCAGTACGGGAAAGCCATCAAGATTCAACATTCAGAAGAACATAAACAAGAACCCAAGCAGCATTACCACAAGATTCAACCTTTTGCCCCCATTTCCTCTGTTTTCTCAGCAACCAAAGAGACGAACCAAAATTATATTGAAAATAGAAAATAGAAAAATAAAAAATGTACCTGATGGCTGAGATTCTTGGTGAGAATTGAAGGATTAATAGGTGAAAGAATAGCAAGAATAAGTTTAATCTGGAAAAGGACATTTTCATCTGGGGCAAGGAATATGGAAGTTGATTTTTTGGGCTCTTCTGGTTCTAAGGGATGCTATTGAAAATTGGGGGTGGGTTGAATCGAAGATCATCAGGGAGAAGAAAGAAAACTTCTTTCTATATAAAAAGCACATTCAAATCGATTGCATCTTCCTCTTTTTTTCTGATAATTTGGAGAGGCAATGTATATAAAAACCCAACCTTCTCAAGGTTAATGTTAGAAATGGATACTTTTTTAAACCGTGTACCCAATTTTTTAGGTTTTCAATTTTACTCTAATTTAAAAAAATAACAACAAAATAGCTTTATTTATAAATATTTTTTAAAATGACAATTTTTTTTTTTTTTTTTGAAAAAGACCTTCTATAGCTGCTACAAATCGAATATGAATATTTGTCAATAATTTGCTGAATATTAGACCTGAACTTAATTTGCTACTTCATTACTTTATTTCATTATTACATTTCAAATTGATCTTTTGATTACAATCGCTCACCCAAAATGATACTATTTTATTATACTAAGAAAAGACTTCAAAATATTAAAAGTACAAGCCAATTAAAATGAAATTATGTACGTTTGTCCAATTTTTAAAATAAAAAAACTAATTCAATTTCTTATTTGTGTTTTTTCGCAACAAAAAAGAAAATTATGATCGATGTTTTTTTTTTGGTCAAAAATTATGATCGATGTTAACTTCAAAGTAAAGACACATTAATAAAATAAACCATATATCTCTTAATCTTCATTTTTTTAAACCAAAGTTTTGTGCTTCTAAGTTTTTCTCATAAGTGTAAGACAAAATCTTGTCTTAGTCCACGTAAGGTGATCTTCTAATCCTAAGAGGATTCGGTTTTCTTAGTTGATCAGGAAACAAAACCTAGTCTTCTATCTAAACACTTATACAGAGTTTATTAAAGAAAACAAGTGTAAAGAGGATTCCTAGTATATTATGGATTGAACCAAACCTAATCTAAATGCAACAAGGACACACGATTACTTCTTGATAGGCAAGGTATCGATGTGATGCATATATAAATAGAGGTCCCTTCCCTTGCAGCAAATCACTCTCAAATCAGATCTCACCCTATCTAAGAGAAAGAGAAACTAAAGTGCTGCAAAAGGGAAGAAGACTCTCTACAAGAAATCGTGATACTCTACTGCTACCATGGCTGAACTAGGTTAGTATTATAGTTTAAAAGCTTAGTACAGACTTACATGTGGTATCAGAGCTCTAGGCTTT